TCTATAATATATATATATATATATATATATATTAATTTCTACTATAAACAACTTAAAAATATTTTTTTATTTTTTTCTTCTTAAAATCTTGGTTTGGTTGGACTTCTTTTTTTTCTTGTTCCCATGTTTCATAATTTCACAACTTTTTATTGAATTTTTAAAATTATACATTTTGTTATTTTATCAATTAACCATTTACCTTATTAGTTAACTACAAATGTAATATTTTGATTACTGATATAATATATTGATCGTTAATATAAAATTTGATTATGTGATATATAAATGATAACATGTATAATATGTCATGTAATTAATTAATGTGTTATGTCAGTAGTTAATTAATAATGTCAGACAATCAACTAATAAATGATAAAATGTGTTAACAATTTTAAATTGTGTGATAATATATATAATTTTAAAATTTTGGTGCAAAATCTATAAGAATAAAAAACATAGGTGAGAAAAAAAAATTGCAATTGAGACTAAAATATGTTATTATTTTTAAAATTTTGGTGCAAAATCTATAAGAATAAAAAACATAGGTGAGAAAAAAAAAATTGCAATTGAGACTAAAATATGTTATTATTCTACAAAGCAGTAGTAAAATGATTCATTCAAGGGTTTACATGTGTTGTACAACTTTTGTTAAATTTTAAAGAATTGGATATTTTCGTGATTAAGACTATGTTCAACAGCTTTTCTTAATTTAGGGTTAGGGCGTTGAGGTTGTGGACGAGGGAGGTTTTCTGGATCATGAACCAGCATAGGAGTTAATTTAACTAGATTAGTGAAAGCGTGTAGGAATAATTAAGCTATAGTTATATGAGAATTTTGAAAATTGTGACTTGTGGGTTATGTAACCGAGGCACATGCAGATGTGAAAATAATGAATATAGTAGTAACAGGGTGGTTGTGTAAGTGGGGTGAGTTTCTTTCATGTGGCAGAGATTTGATAGAGAGGTGTGGGGAGTAGGAGTGTGGTTTGTGGCTTGTGGCTGTGGTTCCATTCCACCCCATGCATGCTTTTGTTTCGTGTCCATTTTATTTTCATCCGATAGACACACAGGAATACGATGGATTCGTGGATCCATCCCTCTCTCTCTACGTTAATTTTTTTTTTTTACTCATTTATGCTTTTGAATTATTATTATTCATCTGGTCAAATTGTGAGCAAGTACTTTGTAATGTAAAATAAAATGATTGGGAATTCTATTAATTCAAAAAGAAGTCACATATCGAATATATATATATATATAAGTAATATAACAATATTAGTATAACTTTTACTAAATATTATATTATTTAATGATCGAAAATTGTTTACTTTTAGATTATATATACAAAATTTTATATTAATTTAACATGATTTAATATTTCATTCTTATAAAATAAAATTGACATAATATATTTATTTTAAAATATACTAATATATAACACTTTGATTACTTTTAAGTTATTGTTCAATTTTAATAAAATTTGATATAAATATATAAAGTAATATGAACTTTCAATTTATTTAATATAAAATTATTGAGCGATATAATACTAAGTAAAAGTTACATTGGTATTATTATAACCGATGTTCATATATATATATATATGTATATATTGAGAACCGGGAAGTTACCACACATATACACATGTTTCTACATTAATGAAATATTGTCCGCTTTAGATTCAAGCCCTCACAGTTTTGTTTTTGAACATTACCAAAAAAGATCTCTCTACCAATAGAGACAACTGTGGATATATAAATCCATATCCAATTTATTAAATTAAATATATCAGTTAATGAAATTTGAATTTTGTTATACTTTAATGCCATTTTTTTTATACAAGATAATAATAAAATTTGAACTACACTTCATATAGAGTACACATATAATAATAATAATAATAATAATAAATAAAATAAAAAATACTTTTACCTATAGTCAGAGCATGTAAGAATAAGTTAATGACTTTTACCTACAGTCATAACATATAAATACAACTTAATGGTGTTTACCTATAGTAGGGAGTGTAAATATAAGTCAATGACTTTTACCCACGCATATTGCAAATTGTAGGTAGCTCTTATAGTGACAGTCAAATGTAGTTGTAGGTAAAATTATCTATGTAGGTAAAACTTATAGTGATAGGCTATTAGTTGTAGCTATATGCCCCTCAAAGTTAACAACTTCATTGTCTGTAGATCAAAGTGCATGATACCTTTACCTATGGAATTTAGATTTTTAGTGACATTTTTTGTGTGTAGGCATAAGTCATTTTTCTTGTAGTGCATGTTGTTTATATAAAGATGTTGTTCACAAGTTGAAAGTTGTTAAGTTGTGTTGCATGAAATTTTGATTACATTGTTTATAGTGTATTGTTGCAATCTTATGTTGAATAATGTTATGTTGTTGTTGTTTTTTTTTTTTTTTTTTATCACAAACTTACCATTTCTTTTCTTTGTTGTTGAAACTACAATGATTATACTTGGCATGAAAACAAAATAAAATTATTTATTTACGTTTCTTTAAAAGTATATATATATATATATATATATATATATATATATAT